GTGTGTGTGTGTGTGTGTGTGTGTGTGTGTGTGTGTGTGTGTGTGTGTGTGCGCGTGTATGAGAGTGACAGCGGGTGTATTTGTGTCAGCACAATCAACATGGAAGCAGGGGAGAAGGAAGTGAAGGATGTCTGAGCATATGTGCTGTATGTGTGTGTTGAAGTGTGCCTTTTCCATGTGGACATTTTTAATTTAAACACGATGCTTACTGTGTGTTACAGAGAACTTAGAGGGGGTGAAAAGGCGTTCACACTGTTTTAGTGGCCCCCTTGTGGTTAACACTATATAACAATTAATCCACTTGGCAAAGCCGGAATAAAATATGCACAGCTGAAATGTTGTGTTACCTGCGGGGGTCATTCCTCACCTATCAAGCATCCTCTTGAGGGGATTCTCAATATCATGCTGGCTTCTCTCTCAGATCATTCAATATCTCTAAATTCTCTAAAAAAACTCAAAACATAGTCAATTATTTTACTTGGTTAGATTATCCAGGACTGTGTTTTTTGGAACGTCGCACAAAAAACTTTCGCATACTTAATACTTTTGCTGAGTGAGTAACACAGAGGATGACATACTGTGTGTGAAGTCCTAAGTGAGCAGAAGACTATACGACTGCCACTCACAGCTATCGCCAACAGCATGCTGCCTTGGCAGGACAACTGTCCTTTTTGCACAGCAAGTGGTATACTGATCAAATATGTGTGTGTGTGTGTGTGTGTGTGTGTGTGTGTGTGTGTGTGTGTGTGTGTGTGTGTTTTCCACTCTTGTGTGCAAAGACGGTTCTGCANCTACCTTTAAGTTAAGTACACATACCTACATTTTGTACTTAAGTGCTTCAGTGAACTTATTCATTCATGCCACAAGTAGACAGAGATACTGTACGCTGCAGTTTGAAGTACATTTTGCATCTCAGCAAGAACAAATGTGACTCATGTGTGCAGATGTATAACAGTGTCACATCAAATATGTGTGTGTGTGTGTGTGTGTGTGTGCGCGTGTTTGTTTTCCACTCTTGTGTGCAAAGACGGTTCTGCACAATCATTCTCAATAATGGTTTTTGTTTCTCCGTCTGCAGCATTGAAGCCTCCAATCATGTTTTCATCCTTGTTCAATTTCCACTGTCGTCAACAACTGCCGGTGAGGCTTTTCCTGTAAAAAGATGTTTCCTGTGCTTAGTCAGATGTGAAATAAAGGTTATGTATCATGCATTACGCAAAGTCAATTCCAAATGCATGGCTTGTGTAAAGAATATAAAGACGTACACATATTTGGGAGTACAGAAAGGTAATGGGGAAGACGAGTGTTTATGGTGTTATTCCCAGAATCTTAGCCTTAAAGAAATATGGAAATCATGATTTAATGGTTGCCTGAAATGCTCACAAAGCTGCTGTGATAGAATAATAATTACGGCGGGTGTTAGAGGGTCTGTGAGACTCAAAAGAAATAAAGAAGAGACGCAGCTTTAATAAGCCAACATCAGGCCAATTAAGCAACCCTCTGCAGCGAAGGCTCCGGAGCGCAGATAGCAGATTAGCTTCAGAAAAACAGCATTATTGCAGCGCGGGGCCTCAGAGGGTTGCACACAGTGTCAGTGATTCTCCTATTCGCTGATGAGGCACACGTAAACACCGAGATGAATGTTGTGTGAAAACAGGTTATTGATTTTGGCCGTGAAGAGACGCGCTCTCTACGGGACTATTGGGGCCGAAAGATTTGTCTTCAAAAGGTCAATGAAGATGATGCAAGTGCACATTTACAAGAGTTACTCCAAACTCTGGAGGGTTTCAGAGGAAGGGAGGACGCTGTGGAGAAAAGTGGAGCGATAATTAGACAGGAAGTGGGTTTTAATGTTATTTCACTTACTTACTTAATTAAAAGAAAGTAGAAATTAATTTAGGTGTTTTTTATCCAGTTTTGAGTTGTTGTTGGACCGTTGAGCCGGTGAGCACTTTAAGATGATTCGTATGTACTTTGGCACTTTGTTCAGCCGGTTTTATTTCCCTTGTGTTGTGTTCGAAAGCTGTTACCGTTCATGGTGTTCACGGGTCTAAAGTCAAAGATGACTCTTGATTGGGCCAAATTTGACCTTTAGTCACCCAAAACTATTCTGCTGGGTCTCCCCAGACCCCAACACCAAATGATACACTTTTATTTTTAGAGACCTTCAGACTTGGCAAAAATGGTCAAAATCTGTTTTCTAGTGTTTATATAGCTGTTGTGGAGGATATCATGAAGCCTTGTTCCCATAGAGCGTAGTTATTATATCATTTTCACTTGAAACGGGTCACGGGAGACCCAAACACAACACAAGGGTTAAAGGTCCCATGTCATGGCCATTTCTACTGATCATAATTCCGTTGTTGAGGTCTACTAGAATAGATTTACATTGTCCAATGTTCCAAACTCACATT